TATATATATATATATATATATATATATATATATATATATAATATATATATATATTATATATATATATATATATAATAACCCTAATGCAAGGTATAGCTAAATAACAATGGACAATTTAGAAAGTATTGTTAACTGCACTGTTCCTTTGATCCTCACAATAGCCCTATGGGGTTAGCAAAGTAAATATTTCTATTAACCTCTTCCTACAAGAAAATCCCCTACAAGAAAATCCCCAAGTGCTCCGAGACAGCAATAGCCACATCTTCTGAGGACATCAGTGAAAACTGGCCAAGAGTCTGAGATGGGGAAATAGGCAGGTCTGGAAATCCCGGAGCAGACCCTTATCTATCGTGAGACCCGGAGCTTCATAGCCTCTATAAACTGGGGTTAATGCTACTTACTGCAAATCGAAAGATTAACTAGTTAATCCTTGTAAATCTCCTTGGAATTGAAAAGTGCTAAAAAAAATACATGACTTAAATCAGTAGCCAGATATTTTGATTTATCTGTCATCAGAAGGTAATATTTTTCCAGTGCTATATATAAGAGAAGCTCAGTACAAAGTTTTCTCCTAGATAACAGAAGGACAAAATTCAAGGAAACCTTCAGAATAACACAAGAGAGAAAGTAAACCAAAAAGCAATGTTCCTGAGACGATGTCAATGAGAGTCAGTACGCTTTGCTCATCACTGTTAATTAATAAGGATTGAACACCTACTGGGCAGATAGCCTTGAACTGCTCTTAGCTGCTCTTAGCTTAATGAAAGATTCATTGAATTTTTTAGTGAATTAAATTTTGGATCCTCCTAAAGGTCTGCCCAAACAGGATGAAAGATTGATGTTAGAGAAATAGGAATTCATTCTGACTCTCCCTGTACTTTAAATGAGCCTTGTGTTAGTGAAGGGGAGTCTAATTCTCTTGAGAAAGCCACGTGTTCTGAAGTACCCTCAATTTGGTCAGATAAGATCCAGATCCACATTTAGCCCCAGTTCACATTGTCATAGCTGGTTAATCCAGAAAAACACAACAGGTCAGACCAGAGTGCAGAAATGAGAGGGACAATGCGAGTCCTGGGGAACTCCTGCAGGACTCTGCAAAAGGCCAAGCCTGGAGGTTATTTGAAAAGGAAGTACCAAAATGTCAGAATTCATCTGAATGACAGAAAGCGTAACATCAAATAATCTCAAATATAAAAATATGCTATTATGTCTTTGAAGATCTCTCTTTTAAAAATGAAAAAAAAAAATCTTAGGGAACCAGGAGAAAGAGAAAGAAAAGTGATCTAGCTATCTCGTTCCTCTATACTGAACAACAACCTGAAGTCCCTGAAGCAACACTTAGGTCTTTTCATAATTCACAAAGGAAAACAGGGGGAATAATAGGGAGGGAAGGAGAGACAGCAGGAAAATTTTTTCTGAGACCTTTCAAGTACTCAGCCTATAAAAAGAGTTGCAACAAATCTGATAAAAACCCACCCAAGACTGTAAATGTTGCCCATTCCATTAAATGGAATACAGAAAACTCTTGTGGAAGTAAGTGCTCCTAATAACACAAAATAAAAATCTTCAGTGAGCAAGAAATCATTTCCCAAATCATTTTCCAAATCCAATGACTCCTTGGATTGTGAACTAGTTTAATTGTTTCTGGAACAGTTGCTAAAATATGGTCCAGAGCTGGTTACAAGTGTTGAAAAAACAAAGTCAGTCCTAGGTCATGATCGTGAAAGACTTGCAGTTCAATGGCCAAGCAAATCCCGTGCAAGTGAAGGATAATACCGGGCTGGCCCATGTGGCTGGAGCACTGGGTGTGTCAGGGATATAAAGAAAGAAAAGTGAGAGAGTGGGAGAGTGGCCTGGGACCAAGGTTTAGAAAGCTTCAATAGCAGGCTAAGAGGTTTGAATTTTAGATGGAGAGTGACTGAGGAGGAATGTCACCCCGAATCTGTGCTTTGTAAGGAAGATGGTAACCAATAGGCCAAGTGAGAGCCAGAGATGAGATTTCAAAGAGAAGCAAAAGTATGATCCCCAAAAAGCCTAGACTAGTAACAGGAATGAAGGAGAGGAATTTTAGCCTAGTTTTAATAGACAGAGGCAGATTGTAGTATAAAGGTTGGAGAAAGCTGAAAGGATCCTGAGACACAATAAATTCGATCACAATACAGAACAGAAGGTGAGTTTGGTTCTTGTTGCGTTGAAGACTAAGATGATTGAGAAGCCCAGGAAGAGCATCTTCAGCAAAGCAAGAAACAGTCACGTGGTAACAGGTTTCCAGGAGAGAAAATCAGGCAGACACACCAGAGAGGAGGAAGCGCAGCAGGGCATTTAGGGAGCAGGTGGAGGGAGGGATCTCAATGGAAGAAGCCAGAAGGGGCCATAAGCAGAATTCAGTGTCCTGGCAAAATAAAAAGGAGAAAATTTAAAGAAAGAATCGTGGTGAGCAAGGGTTCAGTGCTGCAGGAGGTTAAGCAAGTGAAGATTTAAGAAGAGTCACTGGTGTCGGCCACTAGGGAGGGGTGGGTGGTAACTGATTTCCTTGGAGCTGCAGAGGTGGAACCCAAGCTGTGAGCTGCTGTGGAGTGAATGAGTTCAGCGGGTTGGGCCACCTCACGTAAGACATTACTGGGGGCAAGGAGATAAAACAGCAACGTGAAATGAAAGGGTATTATTGTTGTTGTTTTCATTCTCATGTATAAATAATATTAAAGAACATGTGTAACTTAGTAGAAGAAGCCAGAGAGGGGCTAAAAGAGCAAACGAGAAGAGAGATGACAGTCCATGACAAAGAAGGAATCCTTCACAATTACACTCTAGTGCATTAAACAAGGCCTCAGGTGTTATGGTCTGAAGACACCACCTGCCTTGAAATCTGCCATTTAATAATTACAGGAAGTGGGGGAAGCCTTTTGCTCTGATCCTTGATACAAATGCAATTCATATTTTACACTTGAGAGAGAGAAGGAATGTGATGGAGGACAGACTGAAGTAATAGCTGAGATGGAGACCTACTGATTCTAATAGACCAGAACAACTTACATTTCCAAAGTACTTGTCCAGCAACTCCACATAACGATGCACAATCTCTAGTGTCAAGAGCTCATTGTCCTGACTTTCTACTGCACAGCAAAAGTATAAGCTAGCATACCTTGAAAGGAAAAAAAAAGTAAAATATAATGACCCATTAAACAACCTGAAGGTGGATTTTCCCCAATGAAGATGCAGTTACCTCCTGCTTCCCATCCAAGAATGTAATCATTATTCATCACATTCCATATCTCAAAATCATAGTCCTGTGTGTTTCTCCTATGGGTTTCTCCTGTGTGTATCTTCTACCCAAAATACTCTTCCCTACCCCATTTGTGTGGCTAACTCTTCCTTGTCCTATTGCTCTGAGCTTGAATGTCATTTCTGCCAAGATTGTCATTCCTGTCATCTCTGACTGGATTGGACGCCCCTGCTATGCATCCCTGTGCCCCTCCCCTTCAGAGCATCAGGTCTCTTCATTGTCCATTTCATAGCCTGTCTCTCCCACCAGATCAGTGGTTCCCAAAGGCAGGGTCTGCCTTGTTCACTGTTGTAACCCAGTGCTTGTAATATCAGTCGAGAGAACCACTGAAGCCTATTCTTTATATAATGATTTAAAATACAACCAAACCAATATAATGATTTAAAATACAACCAAACCAAAAATTTTAGAAAACCAGAAGGTGGAGAATACAGACAAGTTTCTTGTCAGCAAACACTAAAATGTTGACCTTGGATCCCACTTTCTGGTAATTTAATCCATTAAATGTAGTCTGCAGAAGTTACTCTACCTTTCCCCTTCAGGTCTTATAAACACTCCTAGCAAGAGCCTCTCTAACGTGTGTTCCTTCTGGAAGTTGCATGAAGATGCTGGGTGCAGGGTCATGTTTTCTGTGTTCCGATCCTGGCTTGGGTACCAGTTATCTAGGTCTAAATGAGCAAAATTACTCCATCTCTTGGGGTCTCAGTTTCCTCATCTATAAATTGAGGTTTCTTCTGAGTATGGTCTTCCCACACAAGCAGGCACAATAAAGAGAGAATACATAGGATTTAAAGCCAGAAAGATCGGAACTTGAATTATGGCTCTGCCAATTACCACTCAATTACTGTGAGTGGGGACTGATTACATAAGCTCTCAGTGGCTTTAGTTTCTTCATCTGCAAATATGAGCAATAATAACAATAAAGAGAGTTTTCCATCTCTGCAGCACACTAATCTGCATTTCCCCATAATACTCATTACTAACTGAAAAATTTTTGTTTACTTAACAAATGAGTAAGTGCCATGAGAGCAGGAATGTCCTGTGTCCCATTTACTACTGTATCCGCAACCACTAGGACAGTGCTGGGAATACAGTAGGTGCTCATAAGGCATGTCTTGGATGCCAGCATGCATTATCAACCTGCAGATGAAGTACCTAGACTCTCTCCTGGCACATCAAAGGCCTTTCAATAAATGAGCGTTCTTTCCTAGTTAGTCTATGGGTACAGTTATTTGGGGTCCAGTCTAAAGATTTCAGTAAATGATGAGATTGGTGTTGCAACCTAAAATGCTCAGAATTAAACAAACCGAAGCAGTAACAAGAAATAAATTCAGTTCTCATAAAGGTACTCACACCTTTTATAAACAAGTTTTAGTTCCTTCCAGTCGATAAAACTGCTCATCCTCTGACCACGAGAGAGCACAATCTGAACAATCTCCCGGGTGATCTTCTTCCTTTCCTTGTCAGAGAGAGTTGTGTACCATTTCTGCAGCCGTAATTTCCCTTGTCGGCTGAAAAGCAATATGAAATGTATCTATAACAAAGAAGGGACAGAGAAAAAAACAGAACTTGGTCAACCAAATCATTCTATGTAGACACAAATGTTCAGTGGCCGGGTGTACAAAGGATTACCATTCTGAACCAATGAAAAAAGGCTTCCCAGCCTGAAAACAATGCCCTCTCTGAAATTACCTTTAGCCCATCAGAGAAACAAAGAAAGGTAGACACCACAAAGTTTATTTATATTATAGGGGAAAGATAAGTTCTTTTTAAAATTCCTCTTATGAGTCACAAATGCAGGATAGGGAGATATATATATCAAGGAAGTACATAATTCTTTTAAGAACACATTAAATTTGTCCTTCACAAGCAAAAAGAAAATGTTAAGAACAGTGGAAGAGTTTACTTTAAAAGTTATATCCTAGTTCCATATCACTACTATAGACACACAATGATAGAGAAATAAAGAAGTAAGGGAAAGAAATGAGGATGAAGCAAGGGGTGAGAGTGAGAAGGGGACCATATTTTGTCATTAAAATATTTTTATGGTTTTTTAAGTGATTTTTTTAATATTTAATTTCTTTATTGGTTAAGGTATTACAAATGTAATTGATTTTTTAGACAGAGAGGAAGGGAGAGGGATAGAGAGATAGAAACGTTAATGAGAGAGAAACATAATTGATTGGCTGCCTCCTGCATGCCCCCCACAGGGGATGAAGCCCGCAACCCAGGCATCTGCCCTGATCAGGAATTGAACTGGTGGCCTCTTGATTCCTGGGTCGATGCTCAACCACTGAGGTACACCAACTGGTCCATATACCGTCATTTTAAATAAAAGTTGTACATACTTAAGGTGTACAACATGATTAATACATGTGCATAGTGAAGTGATTACTACAGTCAAGCTAATTAACATATCAACTCACATAGTTACAATTTTTGTGTGTGTAATGAAAGCACTGAAATATACTCTCTTAGGCACTCCAGCATTCAATACAGGGTGTCCCAAAAAATGTATACACACTTTGAATAATTATAAATTCCAATGGGTTAAATCTGAAAAGAAAGAAATATGAACTGAGTTATCAGATTTTAATAGTGTATACATTTTGGGGGGAACACCCTGTATACTGAGAACTAAAATAATTAATATTTTAAACTTTTTACAAATACAATATTTAACTCCTTTTATTGAAAAGGTTTGGCTCTGAACATCATGGCATAAGTCATACTAACTCAATAGGTGGCAATGTCAGAGGGCCAAAAGAAACCAGGCTTTCCTCAGAGCTTCCCCTACCCCCAACCTGTAGAATTTGAGGTCTTCTTAATAAACTATCTCTGCCTTAGAAAGGAAACATATGTTTTATGAAGGTCTTGAAGACCAAGACATGGCAAATGAAGAGAAAGCAAGTTACAGAGCTCTATATGCCTACTAGCTTTAAGAAAAATTACCTTCAGTCTGGAATTTTAAATATTTACTTAGAACACAGCATTTTCTTAAATACCAATTTCACTATCAGAGAAGGTATAGGTAACCCAATAATGCAACACAATTACTATTTTCTAAGAATCATATTAAGAAAGGTGTTTTTGCTTCTAAGGATATCTATATATATAAAAGTGTAAGCGACCATTACGACCGGACAACCAGCTAGTCGCTATGATGTTCACTGACCACCAGGGGGCAGACGCTCAATGCAGGAGCTGCCCCCTGGAGGTCAGTGCGCTCACACAGCCAATGCTCCCGTGGCCAGCCAACCTCCTGCGATCCCTCCCCCAGGCAGGCCAGCCTGATCAGGACTGGGCTAGATGACCCCCATCGACCCCAATCGCCGGCCAGGCCGAGGGACCCCACCCATGCACAAATTTGTGCACTGGGCCTCTAGTATAATCATAAAAGTGGCATTCTAAAAGTACAAAGCTGAACAGTGATAGAATAAAACCTCAGAATTCTAAAAACAAGCCCTTTTTTGGATCATCACCAATGGATAAGAGTATTACATCTGATGTTTGGTGAATAAGCAGATTTTTGTTAGAGAAATGAAATCCACACATTTTCTTAATTGTTCACTTTGCATTTCCTGACAGAAAGTTTTCTTCTTCCCATTTAATCTAATCTCTTCAAAATCAGTTTAATCTAAATCAGTTAAAATTAAATGGATTTTCCCTGATTTTATCCAGAAAGTGTATAAAAAGACATATCACTATCCTTCAAATAACAGCTAACTTTGCAAACTTGAAGACAGCCTTTAAGTATAGCCTGAATCTTTTCCTTCCAGAGAAATAACCCTGGTTTCATGTCTTCTCATTCTTAGTTCTATTTTCAGATGTCAAAGTCATCACGGTTGCAATTCTTCCCTATTTCTCCATAGGCTCTATGTTCCTTTTAATTTGGGGCACGCAGACCAATGCCAAAGTCCCAGCGAGAGGCTATAACTACTGCTGAGTTGAATTGTAGAACACTTTCTAGTTCCTCTATTTGCAACCTTCACTCAAGAACAGGTGCCTATCTTTTTAAACATGGATCAACAATGGAGAACAATAAACAAGGAGCTTTTTTTTTCATTCTAACAACAAATTCAAAGGGAAAGGATAATCAGGGACATAATACACATATCCATGAGCCCATACAAAATATATAAAAATGCATTCCATATTCAAAAGAAGCAACAAATAGGTTCAAGTTTATCCAGCAATTGCACTGCATAAGACAGTGTTGAAAGACTTGGATCTCTCAGGTCCTGCTCTGGTGCATGGTGTCTGTTACATCTCCCCCAGATTTAACAGCTCGAGAGACTCGGCAGAATGAATCCCAGTGATTCACAAGAGTCATCACCTCCAGCAATTGATTTCATCCAATTTATTAATTTAGTCCTTCAAGGCAGATGTTTCAAGAGGTTAATCAAATACCATTTCTGATTAGCATTAGCTTGAGAGCAGGAAAAAAGGCAATTGGGTGGTTTTCTTCAATAATCACAAAGAGCCAGGTTAAATTCGAGTTGACGTCATCAACAGACTTCATCTGACTTCAGAAAACAACCACCGGACATTTCCTTTCAATAATGTTGCTGAGAAGAAAGGGGTAATGGAGAGACTGGTAATACCTGCAAACACCAACTCCAGAAATAACCAGAAAATCCAATGAAGTTGATTGAGCCAGCTTGACTTCCTACATTTGGCCAAAATGCTCTGGCCTCAACTGGGCACCCTGCTGCACCAATTTCTCCCATCCCTGTCCCAGAAGGAACCACATATGTCAGCAGCCCTTTTGAGGGGTCTGGTTCTGCCCCACATGATCCCTCACATCCAAACATGTAAAGTTAATCCAAGCACTCCTTGTCCTCAGAGTATCCCCTACAACAATGCTTGACCTTACTGGGCACAGCCCAAAATTCTCACCTTGATCCAAAGCAGAAACTGGCTGTTTTCTTCATCATATATTTCTGAAGCATGTCTAGGGAGGTGCCATTAAGCCTTTGAAGGGAGCACAAAGCAGACCAGTACCAATGTATTTGGACTGCTGCTCTGAGCCAGTATTAGCATCTTCCTTCTATTTTTTAAATTTATTTTTTCTCTCAATTTTATTTTATATTGGTTTCAGGTGTACACCTTGTGGTTAGACAATCATATATTTTACATAATGTTCCCTGGATATTTCCAGTACCCCACCTGACACCATACATAGTTATTACAATATTATTGACTATATTCTCTATGCTATACTTTATAACCCTGTGACTACTCTGTAATTATCAATTAGTATTTCTTAATCCCTTCACCTCTTTCACCAATCCCCTAACCCCCTTCCCTGTGGCAACCACCAGTTTGCTTTTCTGTATCTATGAGTCTGTTGCCATTTTGTTTGTTCATTTATTTTGTTCTTTTGGATTCCACATATAAATGAAATCATGGGATTCGTCTTTTCTCTGACTCCACTTTATTTGGACTTGAGGATGAAAACCCTCTAGGTCGAATTCAAGCTGCCACTAGTGAGAAGATGTGATTCTTTTTTATGG